AGGGTTGACATGTTGTGGGGTTGTTAACCAATGTCATAAAACAATATGTGTACTACTGTTTCATGAGAAACTGTTCTGTAAGCCTTCACCTGAAGCACAATTTAAAAAAAAAAGGGGGGGCCCTCCTTCTATGACTAAAGTCCAACATTGCTTTGAGAGTCTACAGAATCATTCTGTTTTTCTAAAGTCTGAACACATGGTTAGAACCATATGACTTGACAGGAGAAACAATGAAAAGAGACCTATGCTGGCAATTGGTTGATCATAATGAATGCTGGATCTTGATTTTGGATCACTCGAGTTGTAGTTCTTCCATTTCTACCTATCACAAGGTTTCACACATTAATATTATGAAGTATGACAAAATAAAATAATTGAATAATTTCTTTAATGTCACAGTATCCAAAGTATAATAATCTCAGAAAGTTATATACTCAGTCCCACAATGTCACAACTGCTCAAAATATTCCTGGAACACCTCTTTGAAAAAATACTTTCAGTGTCAGTATAGAAGTCACACTAAAAAAAAGAGTTTTATTTCATATTCAGTCACAATTTTGACCATACAATAGAATAGAAGGCCTCTGGCATTTAAGGTTCTGGCTACTCAGTATCAGCAAAATATCACCACCCAAAATAAGCAAAGTAATCTGCCTTTATTGTTTATTGTCACTAAATAAATACTGATTTTTGTAAAATTACCTAAATTTAGTTTATTTTATGTAAAATAATCCCTAAAAGAATAAAAAAATGCTAGGGGGTAGGAGGTGAAGGTAAAGCCAAAATGAAGAGATCTAAAAACATGATGTGTTTGGGAATTTACAGGTATTAAAGTTATTGCTATTAAAGTTGTTACTCCAATAAATTCCTCAAGAATGTCAAAGGTATCCTGTATTATCAGACCTGAACATCTATTATTTAACATACTATTGTGAAATTAAGTTTTGGTGGTTTAAAAAAAATTAAATGTATCCTCAACGGAAAAGACTTTGTACCACTAAAAGTTTACCAAAAAAAA